GAGCCCAGGGATGAGGTCGGCACAAAAGTGAGTGCTAAGGACGAAAGGGCTCCCTCCACCTGCGTGTCTGGGGCGAGAGCGTGCGTGTCTGGATGTGGGATCCAGAACCCGGCTCAGCCCACCAGTAGTCGTAGGACCCTGGGCCCCCATCTGATTTCTCAGTCTCGATTTCCTCACCTGGAAACCAGGCTTCGGGGGCCTCAGAGCCGTGGGGAGGCTCCAATGAGACAACGGCAAAGCACAGAGCACAATGTGTGACCCAGGCGAGGCCAGCCAGCATCAGCGGCTGGTATTAACAGAGGACCGGCCGCAGGCTCCGGCCATCTGCACAGGGAGCGAAGGAGCCGGGGGGCCCAGAAAGGATGGCCAAGCCACAGGGAGGTGGTCCCATCCCGGCTGGACCTCAGCATGAGGGATTCACCACGTGAGGCTGCCTGGGGGCTGGCTCCTCCGGGCGCAGAGCTGGGAATCGGGCCCAGGGAGCACCAGCAAGCTGAGGCTGCCACAGGTGGGGCCCTCAACAGAGGAAGAGCAGCAGACACGTGCGGAGGGATCTGCGGGACCCCAAGGAGCTGCGAGGTCCTCAAGGCACCGTGGAGGGGAAGGTCAGGCTGCACCTCCCAGGGCAGGAAAGTCCCAGTGACGGAAGTCAGCAGGCCGCCATCCACCGTGGCTCGGGGCCAGTGGAGGTCCCTCCCCGCACCTGGCCCTCGGGACACCAACCCCCAGCACCCTGCCCTGGGGATCCAAGGGTCCAGCAGGTCTCCAGGAACTGGACAGCAGGAGGGAAGGGGCAAGAGCAAAGGGCTCTGGTTCCTGAGCGGCTGGTGCAGAGCCGGCGGGGGGGAGGGGGCCGCATGCCCAACAGGCAGCAGGGGTTCAAAGACTGCTCAGCTGAATGGCTCTCCTGCTTCAAAGCTCCGAACAAAATACTTTTTTTTACTATTTTTAAAAGTCCTTATTTTCTAGGATGTTCTTCAACATAATCCAGGGGGAAGAGTAACAGAGGTCTAACTCAGCAGTGGGCAGTTTTTCTGCAAAGGGCTGGATGGGACCTATTTTGGGCTTTAAAGGCTAAGAGGAGGTAAATCGGTATTATATCAGTATAAGAGAAAACAAGTTTCCATGACATTTTTGATGATGAAATTCAAAATATAATCTTTGAGTACATTTTTTGGTAATACAGGTATACTAATGGAAATGGAACAGGGGAGGGGTACAGGATGCCTTTTACTTCATTGGGTTCAGTGTTCACTGTCATCAAAGAGACCGTGAAACCCAGCAGGGAGCTGCATTCAGCTCCTGACGAGTGGGTGTAGGGTGACCACTGCAGAGGCTGGGTGACGGGTACCAGAGTTAACTATATTCTTCTGCCTTTGAGAAAGGATTGCGAACCTTCCATGATAAAAGGCTTCCCTGGTCCCTGCTGGCTCCCTGGAGACCACCCTCAGGGCTCCCCAGGATGAAGGGCACAGGACAGGCTGACACACTCCCTCTTCGGAGGGGGCTGGTTTGACGGCCGGGAGGGCAGAGCGGCTCAGCTGCAGACTAAGCAGTGCCCGCCGTTCCCCACCTCACCCCACCAGCTGCCCCGCATAGAACAGCAAAGCCACCTCTCAGAGCTACTTCTTGGGGACACTGCCGCTAGAAGGGCCCCTACATGACAAGGCGGGGGGCGCCCCTCAGAACTTAGCTGTTCCCCAAGGGAGCAGAAGGACGGAGAAAGCCCAGGAGAAGCCTTTGCAGGGAGCTCTGGAGAGCTGGGCGGAGGCTGCAAGCGGCTCTCAGGATGCCGCTGGGAAGGAGGCCGGGGGACAGGGGGGCGCGGCTGCCCAGCACCTCACTGCCCTGTCCCCACAAGACAGAGGGGAGAGGGCTGGGAGGTGACCGGACAGAGTGTACAAACATTTCCTATTGGCCAGCCTGACTGATGATGTCACACACAGGATACACAGCCCTAGCGGACAGAGGGTACCTGAGGCAGCTTCAAGGAAGACCAACTCCACGGACTCCTTTGGGGTCCTGGTCAGATGACAGCTGCCAGCACTGCTCCCCTCCCCAGATGAGCGGGACTTAGGGCGGGCGTTTCCCCTCGATGAGGGCAACGGTGCCCTAACCATCTTCGTCAACGGAGTCTAAACCAGGAGGATCACATAAGATCTAAAGAGAGCAGCTGTAATCACCGCATCTAGGTAAGCTGAGGATGCTCAGGGCTGTGCTCATGGCAGACACAGGGGCGGGGAAAGGGGTCCACGTGCATCCATAAACACACGCACGCACACATGCACGCACGCATGCAGGCACGCACGCACACATGCATCTGTAATGTAGGCACAGAGCCAGCCAATGGAATCCAGCCTCAGGCTGCGGGGAACAGCTGGCGGCCACTCTTAAGAGCGCTGATGGAGTCAAGTCAACCCGGTTGTGAGCTAGGCTGGGTTCTTAAAGACACAGCTAAGATGCCATGCCTCACGCCGAAACGTGTGCAAACCTTGAGGTGCGTGCACCAGCCCAAGCGGGAGCATCTGAGGTGCCAAGTACCACCAGGACATACACGCACGCACGCCACCTGCCCACAGTAAGACCCTGATGGTGGGAAAGACGGAAAGCCTTGCTGCCCCTCAGACTCACCGAGGACTGAGTCAGCCACGACCCCAGAGGCCTCCCAGAGAGGAGGCAATACCAGAGAGGCAGAAGCCAAGTGAGGGTCTGGGGACCCAGGACCCCTGGCTCTTGGTCACCTGCTTTTCCATCTTCTCTGAGAGCCTGGGGGCTGCCTTCTTTTGCCCCATGACAGCAGCAAAAGAGGCTTTTTTTCCATTCTCCTCGTCAACTCGTTAATGATTTTCAGACCTTAACTCACTCAGCCCGCCCCTGACGCCACTCTGGACTTGGAAACTGGTGACACACTGTTCAGGCAGCTCCACTGTGCTCCCAGGAAAGGCCCCTCTAGGCTCACAGCTCTTCCCAAGAGGCCCTCGGGCAGAAGGTCACCAGGGCAACATCTGACCTTCGCTTAGGACCCCAAACCAAGCTTTCGACCTCCCTCCCCCATCCTGCTCTTTCCAAAGGCCCATCGGCCCTTCCCCCATTCAGAAGCCCGTGTCTTTATTATAAAGGTGCAACTTGGTAACCAGGAGAAGGTTCATCACAGCCTTGCAAACAGACACCTGCCCAGCAAAGAAATGTGATGGCCTGAGAATAAAGCACTCAGCTTCAGGTGACCCGAGACAGCGGCCCAAGCGCACGGTTTATCTTTTGTCCCTCTGCGGATCCCTTTTAAAACGTGTTGCTGCCGAGAAGCCACAATCTAGAATACGTGGGGGCAGAGGGGACAGTTCTGGGAGGGGCCGCCTGTCCAGCAGGCCCAGGCTCTGGACTTGGAGCTCACAAGAAAGACAGTGGACAGGGGTGGGAAGTGCTACAGCTTTTCTGTACTTTAATAAAATGTACAAAACAGAAATAAAACCCAAAAACCTACAGCTAGCTCAGCTGACCCGTGTGGAAGGGACGAGCTGCTGATTTGGGCGGCGAAAACATTTTGGTACCAAATGACTATGTGTATTCTTTTTTCGTATTTATTATTTTCTGCTTCTCTGTAAGTGCATTCCAGAGAACAGAAGACTCTACCTACAGCAAACTTAAGGTACCAGATCTTGATCAGACCCTCATCTGGAATGAAGAAATAAAAAGAGTAGCCTACCACATTTTTAGAATTAAGATTTCAGCCTGCCATCACTTGGGTCTGGGTAGTGGCATCTCTTGGGTCTAGTGAATGGCAGACACCTTGAAAGGCCGGCAGTCACAAGATCAACAGTCTAGTCCTGGATCTGGGGGACCCTGAGCAAGTTATTCCACTTCTGTGTGACTCTGTCTCCTCAAAAAAGGAAACAACTGGTCTTGATGCCCTAGAACTGACGTGTAGAGCTACACACCCAGAAAGGTTGCAGAACATCAGAGAGTGACGTGACCCAGTACTGTTGAGACAGGGAAAGGGGGGAGACAGCAAGAAGAGAATAGAAAGCCAGGTGTAAAAATGGGGGAGCCAAACGTGGGCTGAGTTTAAAAAAAAAAAAAAGGTGAGCTTCCTAATGACAGCCCCATGTCGCAGAAAAAAAGATCCAGTAAGAATCAGGTGCCGTTAGCAATGGTATGAAGGCAATTCTATGGGGATTCCAATAGTCTTTTGAACAACTGGTGCTGGGACAGCTGGATATCTACATGCAAAAGAATGAAGTTGGACCCCTGCCTCACACCATATATAAAAATTAACTCAAAATTAATCAAAGACTATTGGAGAGCTAAAACTATCAAAATTCTTAGAAGAAAACATAAGCATAAATCTTCTTGACCCTGGGTCAGGTGATAGTTTCTTATATAGGACACTGAAAGTATAAGCAACAAGAGAAAACATAGGTGTCTTAGACGTCATCAAAATTAAAAACTTTTGCCCTTAAGAGGGTAAAAGTTAAGAAAGTTCACTTTCTTATAATGAAAGTGAAGGCAACCCACAGAAGTGGAGAACATTCTGACACCTCATATATCTGATGAAGGACCTGCATCTAGAATATACAAAGAACTCATACAGCTCAATAACAAAAAGACAAATAAGCCAACTGAAAATAGGCGAAGGAGGTGAATAGACATTTCTCCAAAGAAGACGCATGAATGGCCAGTAAGCACATGATGAAACGCTCAACATCATTAGCCATCAGGGAAATGCAAATCGAAACCACGATGAGACACCACGTCACACCCACTGGGATGCTATAATCAAAATGACAGAGAGTAGCAAGTGTTGATCAGTATTTAGAGAAACTGGAAGCCTCATACACTGCTGATGGGAATGTAAAATGATGCAGCTGCTTTGGAAAACAGTCTGGCAGTTCCTCAAAAAGTTATTAAACACAGACTTACTATACGACCCAGCAATTCTACTCGTATGTATATTCCTAAAAGAAAACACAGGTGTACACCAAACCGTGTACAAATATGTTCATAGCAGCATGATTCATAATAGCTCCAAGGTAGAAACAACTCAAATAGCCATCAAATGATGGATGGATAAACAAATGTGGTGTAGCCAGAGAATGAGATATTATTAAGCTATAAAAAGGACGGCAGTACTGATATATGCTCAATATGGATGACCCCAGAAAACACTATGTTAAGTGAAAAAACAGCTAGTCACAAAAGACCACATATTGTATGATTCCACATACGTGAAATGTCCAGAATAGGTCAGCCCATATAGAAAGAAGATTTGTGGTTGCCTAGGAGTAGAGGAATTGTAAGGAAAATAGGAGAGGACTTGCCAAGGGTACAGGGTTTCTTTCAGGGATGACGAAAATGTTCTCAAATTGATGTGGTGGTTCTGGGCATTGACTAAAGAATCATAGAATTGTACACTATCAACGGGTAACTTGTACAGTATGTGAATCATATCTCAGTAAAGCTGTTATGTGCTCCTCTCCCCCAACCCCCAAAAAGGAGGGGGAACCAGAAGCTTGTCCTTACACCGTAGGACACCACACCCGTTGTCCCCACGCAGTTACTGCTAGAGCCCCTTTCACTCTCAGAAGTGTCCTGGTTTAGATGACAAATTTATGTCATTACCCTATCACTATGTGATATCAGGCAGGTGGCTTCGCCCCTCTGGGCTTTGGTTTCTCCATCTGTAAAGCGAGGTCTACCCGTTCTGGTCATCTCTACATGCCCCCAAAGCTCCACTTTAAAAGCTGTCAAGTCCTACTCAGTTGGTCACAGCGCTCACCGTGCTTTGTAAGTTGAACTGACATGAGCAAAGAGTTGAAGCCTGGGGCCAGTACAGATCAGCGGGTCCCAGGAAACAGAGATAAAGACTAATTGCTGAGTCTACTGGTTACTGATATTCATATTTCCCCCAAGTTAGGCCACTAAGAAAGGTGATCCAACCATTCCAGTGCAGGTGAAATGCCCCAAACACACCCTCTACAAATGAAAAAAGAGAAACATTTAAAGGGGAGCCCTCCCAGAGGATACAATGTCTCTAGGAAGCCTGGCAAGTTTGGAGGTCTTCTCTACATGGGATTTGCTGAGTCCATTCAAGAGGGCCTGGTGTCGGGATAGTCAAGGTCATGTGATCCTACAATGGAATGTTCATTTCCTAGTCCTCCTTTACCCATGGTTGCTTAGGAAATAAAATTATACCGAAGGAGCTCAAGAGGAATCATCTGGTTCTCTTCCCTTTTATATTCATGAGAATGTGCCTAAAATTAGTCTTTCTAGCCTCCCCCTGTCCCTCCCAAGGGCCTTAGAACTAGGTCTGTGTGGCCCCGTGGCGTGTCTAGCCCGGCAGTGAAGAGATGCGAGCCCACCTCTGGGCTCCGAGCAGCAGCAGACCCTTAGAATCAAGGTAAACGTGAAAGAAGCAGGAGGCACAGAATAAACCCAACTCCCATCGATCCACCCAGTAACAGGAAAGACGGATGCTCACCAGGGTCACGGAGACGGGAAACCGACACGAAGACAGGAGAACGGTCGCAAACCCCCATTTCGTCAGCAGCCCCATCACTGAGCCAGTTACCAGAGAAGAGGGTGAAGGCAGGGACCAGTACAGGTGGCACCCAGGTACCCGGTGAGCTAGCCTCCAACTAGGGGAGCGTCAGAGGAGATGCCCCACCGTCGGCCTCTTCAGAATGGCAGGGCTGGGAGGAAAAACAAGGAACCGCGCCCAAGCTGGGGCTAGGGGGAGGGGCAGGCTTTCTGCCCGCCAGAGACATGGCCTCCGAGGGTCTCGGCTAGGGGTTGGTCTGTGGCTTTCACAGGCTGGGCCAGGCCCCCCTCGCCGCAGCTTCCCGGGGTGCGATTTCTACATCCAAGGGGGTCCGTGGGGCTGAGGGTAGGAGGTGGCTGCCTGCTCGTCTCTGTTCAGAGGCCACATTTCAGGATGACGTGGTAGCCGTCATTGCTCTCGGCTGCAAGAGATAAACGTGGCGTTTTACAGGAAGAAAGGCAGGGCGCTGTGGCACCTGGGGGCCATGGGATTAGGGTACCAGCAGACACCCTGCCGTGGACACTGGCAGAGGCCACCCAAATGAGACTATGCAGAAAAAAGCAAGCTGACCAAAGCAGAAATCTCAACGTACACCTTCACGGCTGCCTGGTTGAGTTTCTTTTTGACAGCGGGCTTTTCCACCACAGCCTGAGGCCCAAGGACTGAAGGGCCTATGTCCGAGGAGGCTCTGGGCGTGGCGGCCCCCAGGCCTCTGAAGGCAGTCGGCAGCTAGATCCAGAGAACAGGGGAGAGGGTCCAGGGCCACGGTCCAGGGGCCATATCCAGGGTCTATGGCCCGGTCAGGGGGCTTTCATTCCCACCTAACACTCACCTGCCCCAGCCCTACAGGGGGTCACAGCTGGTCTCCCACCTTTCCTGGCATGTGAGTTCCTTCTCAGACCCCTTCCTCAGGTGGGTCCGCCGTGTCCCCCTGGTACCACCCAGCCCCGGGTCCCCGATCCACACGGCCTGCAGACTCAGCTGCTGTATTCCATGCCCACTCCTCCCAGAGACTCACACTTTAGAAACATTCAAACGGGTCTTACTGTAAGTCCCCTACACACGAACGAGTTCCATTCCGAGAGCACGTTCGTACGTCCAATTTGTTCGTACGTCCAAGAAAGTTAGCCTAGGTGCCCAACTAACACAATCAGCTATATAGTACTGTTTCTAGACTTGCTTCCGGACATCCTGGGCTCAAAATAAAGATACTGTACTACTGTGTTCTATACGACACTGTACAGGAAAGTACACAAAAGCACAACCACTTGTAGAGGATGCATGCACGTGACAATGTACGCCAGACATGTGAACTAACTTACGTGACTGGACACGTGAACACACGCTCGCATCTTTGGAAGTTTGCAACTTGAAGGTTCGTATGTAGAGGACTTACAGTACTTCTCGCTGGCACTGGGTTCGTGAAGCACATACTGTCTGGCCAGGATTTCCCTTTCAAAGTGACCTTGGCGCCAGCCGCACCACTTCTCACGTTTCCGAGGCTAGGCTTCCCGGGAAGTGCGTGTTTCTTTTTCCCAGAGGATGTTCCCAGGTAACACTCTCTCGAGGGCCCACCCCATGCAGGCCCCACTCACCAGCCTGCCCTCCCCGATACTCCGTGAACCCGGGGGCAGTGCAGCCAACATCCTTTAATTAAACAAGAAAAGGCGGGGAGGCGGGGGCTTTACCTTTTAAGGTACTGAGGATGAAACAGGATTCGTCTTGGAAATTCTGCACCATCTGAAAGGCAAAAGAGAGACCATGTCCCTTCAATGAGTTCAGAGACGGAAAAGCCTCAGTGACACGGAGCCCAGCTGCTCGCAGCATCAGAAATGACAGGCGCCGCGTTTACGCAAGTGCAGGAACATGCTTACGCTTAGCCCTCACGGAGAGAACGTGACACAGAGTAGATGGACAAAGCAATTACAGTTTCGAGTAACAAAAACTGAATGTAAAGGATGGAAAGAAGCCTGGAAGGGAATGAAGATGTAAACGTTTAATACAAGACTAAACTGTTCCTGATTTGCTTTCGTTTTGCTTTTTTCCTAGTGACTGGGTTTTCCAATGCCTATAAGGACACGTTACAGGAGCGGGTGTGTGTAAAACAGCACCGGATAAAAAAACTAAAGTGCTCTACACGGGGAACTATATTCAGTATCTTGTAACAACCTATGAGGGAAACGAATCTAAAAAAAGAATACATATATGTATATACACATATACTGAATCACTTTGCTGTACACCTGAAACTAACACGACATTGTCAATAAACCATCTTTCAATTAAGAAAAAAATGCTTTAACGAAACCCTCGTGATTAGTAGGCTCTGCATATCAGAGTCCTTTGAGGACCAACTATAAACAGAAGTCCACTCCCTGCGTCTACAAATGCGGGGCAGGAAGCTTATGATTACTCACCAGCCCCCTCTCTGGAGCTCTCGTTTTGATTAACAGCCCGGTGACCTTAGATAAGGCAACTTCCTGTCTCCAGGCACTGTCTGTAAAATGAGGCTGTTTCGATGATAAAAATATATATATAACCAGGATGCAGAGCAATGGGAATGGGCATCCTCTTCTGGGGGGGGGTCGTTCATCCAAATGACTGCTTTCTACAACTGTTCACAGGACGCAGCACAGACGACCACACACATCTCTCCTGCAGGCAGGTGCCCTAGGTAAGCTCCTGCATGTACACACACAAAACACACCTAAGGATGCTGAGAGCAGCGCTGTCTCTATGAGTGAAAACTAGAAACAGCCCTCACGTCACCCAGCAGTAGAAGCAGCGGGAACAAACAAGGACCTGATCACACCCGGCTGCTCGACAGGGCCGGTGACCTCCAGTGCCCCTCAACATGCACGAATCAAAAACCGTAAGTCCCTGAGGAAGGCACTCCTATCCCCCTTCTATAAAGTTTTAAGTGAAATTAAAGAATGCATTGAAGAAGAACCAGGGAATGATCAATATAAAATTCAAACCAGCACTGGAGGGGAACGTGAAATTAGCCCACAAAGGGAGTTCTAACAAACACCGCACTAACCTGAGTGCAGGCATGGAGGACTTTAGTTATTCTTTAAACTCTACAAATGAGCTTCCTCTATTCTAAATATGTATGCTGCATTTCACAGGACACCTTTAAACAATATGAAAAACGTACACATCTACCTAAACATACCCACAACACACATACTGGCCAATGGGACAGCAAAACCCCTTTCCAGATGAAAAGTACAACTCACATTTTACTGGGCCCCCCTCCCCCACCCGGATGACTGCCCCAGATCCTGCAAATCCGTCCACCTGTCGACCCCTGCCCCTCCCCCAGGCCCTAATGATGCATGAAGTACATTCACGCTATGCTGCCGGCCTGCTCCCTCGGGGACTCTTGGCAACCCCACTGCTGGGGCATGCCAAACCTGAAGCAGGGCCCACACGGGCTTAATCAGTAACCGCCTTGTTTAATGAAGTGCCCTTGCACCCCAGGGGCCGGCTGCACGGCTGGCCAGGCCACCTCCAGTGCTCCGGGCAGTTAAGAACCAAAGGTTTCCAACTGATTCGGGGTTAAGAGGCAAGGAGACTTCAGGGGAATAAGAATCACCTACTTAGCGGAGGTGGCGTTTGAGTTCTGTTCTCTGCTTCACTGGCTTAACTGCCTGCTCTGGGGGGGGCACAGGGCAAGCTGGGGGAAGGAACCCCTTCAGGGACCTGTGAAATTGCAAGGGTTCTGAGCATTCTTGGCTTTTGTCTTCACGGCAGAAATGCATTTGTGAGACGTAAACCGACGAGTTTTCCATGTCGTCACTACTGCCTGATGCTCAGGGCGTTTCACGCGTCCCGGCTCTTCTACAGGACTTGCTCAGGCCAGCAACTCTGGGCTACATGTGCTTTATCTGTGAAACGGGGGCCAAAAAGCAGCCACCGTACACTCGATTGTAACGATGTGGAAGGAATTCTGAACTGGTGACAACAATAGCAAGTTGCAGATCAATGGCCCTTTGTTCAAATGGATCCTGGTGGTGTGTTTTTGAAAACCCACACCTACACACACTCAGGCATGCAATGGGCACACGCACAAAAAGTTAGCTGGCAGAATTACATCCAACCTAAGGTAACTCTGCTAGGAAAAGAGAGTGGGGAAGATAAGGGCCTTTCACACTCGCCTTCTGCTTATATTGCCTGACTTCTACGAATTGTGAATTACTTTTTAATTAAAAAGGACAGAAGGGACTTCCCTGGTGGTCCAGTGGTAAGGAATCCACCTTCCAGTGCAGGGGACGCAGGTTCGATCCCTGGTCAGGGAACTCAGATCCCACACGCCTCAGGGCAACTAATCCCGCACGCCACAGCTGGAGAGAGCAAACCCGCATGCCACAACTAGAGAAGCCCACGCGCCGCAAGGAAAGATCCCGCACGCCTCAGCGATCCCGAGTGCCACAACTAACACACGGCGCGGCCAAAAGATAAGATAAATAAATAAATATTTTTTTAAAAAGGAAGGAAAACACCACCTTGCCCACCCCCAGGATGAAACTCCTATGAAACGGAGGACTCCCACGTAGGGGGGGCTTGGGCAATTATGATGACAAGTGACAACAGGATTGCTCCTGATGATGATGATTTATGAAATATACAGACCATTAAAAGCCTTACATGTTATACGCTGTCAAATTTAAGGATCTCTCCATCACTTGTTTCCCAAAACAAGTGCCAGGCTAATTTAGCATCTGCCGGTACCTGACACTGTTTTCTATTTTATCCTTACTACAGCCTGCTTGATGGATAGAATTATCCCCATTTTGCAGACATGGAAACTGAGGCTCAAAGTCATTAAGTAGATTTGCCCAAGGTCACCCGGCTACGAGGAGCCAGTCCAGGTGGGGACATGGGTCCAATTCCGAAGCCCACAACTTCCCTGCTTTCCCAGCCCCCCTTCCTCTACCGTCCCCTCCATCATCTTTCTGCTGAGGCTTGCAGAGTTCCCAGGGTGGGTGGAGGGTCTGCTGGGGGCTGGGCTAGGGGCTCAGGGTTCCACCTCTGCTCCTATCAGGACAGTTCTGTGTAAACGCCTCATTTCAGGGGTGGTTGGAGAGTCTGTGGGCTCGACGCTCAGGCTCTGCTGCCGGGCCACCAGCCTTCCCACCACAGCCCAACCTCTTACGAGCTGTGCACCCTGGGGCCATTACGCAGCCTCTCTGTGCCTGTTTCCTATCTGTGAAATGGGCTCATGACAGCACCTGCCTCACAGGGAGGCTGCCAGGATTAAATGAGTCACTTAGAACAGTCGCCGGGACACAGTAAGCGCTGATGGAACGCTAGCGCTCATAATTATTATTATTACTATTATTAAGAGAAGGGGTCCAGGATAAGACAAGCTTAAAAGCTTCTGTTCTACAACAGGCAGGAACGCCTGAAACATGTCATCAAGCCCGTTTAATAACTCCCTCAGGAGCCAGCAGTGGGATCTGATCACTCGAGGGCACGGTCGCCTGGGGGCCGTGTTCTGTATCTGTGTCCTCTGTCAGGGGCCGCTTATGCCCTGCAGAGGCCTGTGTGGCCAGAGACAGACCCTGGAAGGCTGTGGCACCTTCACCATTCAGCAGAGGACGCCTCTGTTCCCCGAGAGCCCCGGCCTCTCCATCATCAACCCAGCCCGTGTCACCTCTCCTGGGCCTGCCCCCTCCCAGCCCCCGCCCCTGCCCTGGGTGAGCACCTGCGTCTGAGTCCTCACAGCCCTGACTGTAAGCGCCCCAAGGCAGGGATGCGAGCAGGGCACCTGGCCGAGGGCGGGGTTCCAGATGGAGAGGCGACAGCTATTCAGAGCCCGTGGTCGTGGCCTCAGACCCCTCTCTCCCAGCTCCCCGGGCAGCCCCTGCAGCTGAGAGCAGGCCATAGGCAGATGAACCCGGTTTGCCATCTTCAGCCTAAAGTCACCCCCAAGCCCCGCAGGGCGCATTTCGGATGTGGGTCCGCGGCTCCCGCCCGTAGCCCTGGGCCCAACGCCTCGGGCCGGCGGGGCTGCAGTGCTCACCTCGTTGCTGACCACCACGTGGATGCCGGTGGGGCCCTGCCGGTACACCCGATGGATGTGCTGCGGGGAGATGCTGTACAGGTTGGCGATCTTCTCGATCAGCTCCAAGGTGGTCAGCTCCTCCAGGAAGATGGCGTGGTACACTGCAGGGCGGTGGACAGGGCCTTCTATAGGACAAGCGGCTGCCTTCAAAGGAGCCTGCCTACCCTCCCCGACCCCCCAAACCAGTAACGTGCTTGTAAGAATGTCCACCCCCAGATGGACTCGCGGGTTCTGGCTGTACTGGGGACGCGTCTGGAAGCTGCAAGGCTCCCTCTCGGCCCAGCGCCAGCTGACAAGATTCCAGGCTCCGTTCTGTATTCCTGTTTCATTCTCTCTTGGGGGACTTGTGTAAAATGGAGAATCCCTGCATCCACCCTGGACCAAGGACGCCCATCTAGGGGTGGAGGCTGGAGGGGGAACAGCTGGCTGAAGTCTGCATTTAAAAAAATTTTGGGGGGGCCCGCGCCCCACAGCTTACGGGATCTTAGTTCCCTGACCGGGGATTGAACCCGGCCGGGGCCATGGCAGTGAAAGCCCCCGAGTGTCCTAACCCCTGGACTGCCGGGGAATTGCCGAAATCTGCATTTCTTAGAAGCTTCTGGTGATTCTGAGGTGTGGCCTGCTATGGAGGAGAAAATCCTGTGTCTGCATTCCTTCCCTTCCACTGGTTAAAGGGGTTACTGGACGGCTCCCTGTGGCCAAGAGTGAGACGTAAGATAATTGCTACCTGACGGCAGAAGAGAAAGGGTCTGTCCTTACCCTTCTCCACGGCACAAACAATAGTCAGCTGGAGCGCTGTGACCCCAAAGGGCGGGGTGGGGGGGGCACCAGGAATATCACCAGACAGTTGAGACAACAGGGACCCTGAGGCTGGAAGCAAAAACCCAAACCAGTCGGGGAGGAGCAAACCCCGTGGGTGAACTGGGGGGGATGAAGCAATGCCCAGGAACTTCAAGTCCCTTAAAAAGTAAAACACAGCTGGATGAAACAAGAGGTGCTGAAACTCCTTGCTCAACTAAGGAAGGAACCCTTGGTTCAACAAATCCGATCGGCGGCCTGGTATGCTAAAAGCACGTGCGCGCACACACACACACACACACACACACACGCGCGCGCACACACGCACGCGCACACGGCGGCTCCCTTTGAAGGGGTGGCAGAGGCCATGGGGTTCCAGCCACACAAGAGACTCGCCTTCCCAGGATTTCAAATAGGATGACCCGCACCCAGACCCTGTTCAGAGAACGCGGTCGCTGTGTAACCTTCCTTCCCAAACTAACGCCGGGGAAGAATCCCAGGCCTCTGTCGTAAGATTCCTTTTTATAACAGAATTCTCATTGAACTTTTCCCCCCAACTTTTCAGAGCCAGTTCCACTTTTTCTTATTTTACTCTTGGACTGCTGGCAGAAAAGAGCCAGAAGGATTGCAGTGCGGCCCTCTGGCTGTAACCTTTTGTCTCTGGCCTTTCCTGTCCCTGGAGGAATGTGGGGGGGACCAGTACTGCTCAGAGCCAGCGGACAGCCAGTCACCCACTGCTCAGAACTCCTCTCATCGGGGGCCGCGTGGGGAAACGAGAGGCCCTCGAGCGGGCCAGCCTAGGTTCAAATCCCAACGCTGCCACTGCTAGAAGCCAGACCTCAGCGCTCTCCACACCTCTGAGGCTGGGGGTGTGGGCTGGGCGCCTGCCCTCGCCACATGTGCAGGAAACCACGAGACTCGAGCTCTGTCCTTCACAGGCTGACCGCGGCGGAAGGACCCGGACATTCGCAGAAATGTCCTGAGGCCCGGACGCCAACGGCCAGTGCCCGGAGATTTGGATCCTGGCTCTGCCACTCACAGCACTGGCATCTCGGGGCAGCCGCTGTGCCTCAGTTTCCCCCACAGCAAACCATGAGCAGTTCCTGCTAGGGGAAGGAAATGGAACGCCCTTAGCCCAGGGTCTCGGGCATCCTTGCTGATCTGGAGGGGCCCGCAGAGAGGTACAGGGGGCTCTCTCTGCAGACGACGCAGAGTCCAGACCCCGCAGGTGGGGCCGGGCAGCTCATCAGACTCGGCACTCACAACGCTCAGAAGCAAGACGCTGAAAACTGCCAACCCCAAAGAGCCATGTACCCCAGAGGCGCTCCGAGACCCCCCGTGCAGCGACTGAACCAAATGGGAAAGTCTCATCCAGCTGGGGGAACACACAGGAGGACACGCTCCTGGCAATACAACTGTCACTCGTCACCAGCCGAGGAGCCAGAAAGCCCAACTTCCAGTTCTACCACGAGTAGCTGAGTGGCATGAAGGGGACACAGCTCCTCGCCAGCCCTGTTTCCCCAGGTGGAACATCGGTAACCTGGACCAGCCATGCTGGGAGATGATGCCCACCCCAAACATTTCACCCCCAGGATGAAGTACAACAAGAACTCCTCCTGCATGAAAGGTGGATCAGAGAGGCGTCCTCAGCCGTGGACTCGTGTTGCCTCTCCTTCTTGTGTCTCTTCCCGTTACTCTGCCGCCCTCTATCCGGCCAGGGGTGTGGGGCGCACCCCACAACCCACCACACAGATTGGGGTCCCCGCCGCCGTCCCGCTTCTGCTGCAGGGGCACGCGGCTCTGCTCCAGCTCCTGGCAGACGTAAATGGTCATCTTCGGCCTCACGTTCCTGGCAGGAGGAGAAGAAATAAACAGCAGGTATGAGGGACCAAGCTCTGTTGTTCCAGAAAGTTCCAGAACCCAGGGTGGAAAGAGCAGTATGAGGGACTTAGGGGGAAAGAAAGAAGGCTACGGGGGTACAGAGTGCCTTTCATCGAGGAGCTGTCGGGGACAGAACCCCGTCTGGAAGGATCTTAACAGCTTCGCACAGGCTTGCTGGGGACAGGGGATGGACGATCCCCCCACCCCCGACCCCGGTCCTGCAACCTGCCCAGAGCGGGGCTCCGCCCGGGGCACCAGTCTCAACATAGGAGGTTTTCCGGGGTGACAGTCAGAGCAAGCGCTCTCTCTGGCTCATTCTGAGCTCATTTCATCCTCACACACCCATGAGGAAGCCAGGACCACCCTCTCCTTCTACAGATGAGGAAACTGAGGCTCACGGGGGTTAAGGGTTCGGCCCAGTTGCCAAGTTCCTAAGAGGCAGATGTGGGATTCAAACCCGGAGGGAAAACTGCGCTGTCCACATTGTGCCCATTTAGACCTCACCATCCACGCCTGCCCCGCCCCCAGCAGAAGCAACAGGAAGCAGCTCGAAGCCCAGGACCATGCGAGCATCTAAGAACCAGAGGAAGCGGCCAAGGGGCTGAGACTCAGAGGCCAAGGCCCCCGTCAAACAGAGAAGAGGGAGGGAGGGGAGGAGGGGGCTTTCCGGGCAGGGTGGGCTGCGAGCCATGGCATCGCACTTCCCCGCGGGGGCCGCCACCCCACTCCTGGCGCCTCCCAGCCACATCCTGTGCCCCCAGCGGGCACCAACACCCACCTGCCTTTGATGGCGTTAAAAAGCCGGATCCCATCTGCAGGGCCGCAGATCTGGACCAGGTCATCGCGGGACATCTTCAGCAGGTCAGCACCTGGGCGGGTACGTGGAGCCGCCTGTGACCCGGGATGCGGGGGAAGGGCTGCACCTGCAGACCCCGGGGGAGGGTCGAGCCAGCCTCACCCTCAGGGGGTACAGGCATCCCACAGGGAGAAACAGCAAGAGGAGATCACAGCCCCAGAGATGTCAGAAGCTCAACCACTGGCTTCACAAAGGCAGAGGAACCGCCGGGCATTTTCAGAAGTTCAGAAGCCCTCACTGCCTGTGGCTGCCTGGCCCTCCCTCTGGACCTTTTATTGGCATCACTGTCAGTGACGTATCTTATCAGTGTGATCGCGTGTGCACTTGTCCGGAGACGAAAGCTCACGGCTCCCCGACACTGCCGTTCTCAACGCGCCCGGGCACCCGTGCACCCAGCACCCGGGTCAAGAGGCAGGACATTCCCACCATCCCACAGGCCACCACCTCCCCCACCCTCACCTCTGGGGAACTGCTCTCCCCACTTGTCACATGCAGAGGAGTTTCGCTTGGCTTTTAGCACCTGTGTGAATGGAACTGAACACTAAGCACTTTTCTAGGCCTGGCTCTCCCTCCAAGCTCCGTCTAAGGGCTCATTCGTGCTGCATGTAGTTGTGGACCATTCGTGCCCACTCTTAGGTAGGATTCACTGCACGAATAAAGCACAGTTCCTGTACGCCCTCTCTGCCGCTGGGCTTTGGGGGTGCTCCCAGTTTGAGGCGATCATGAGTAACTGTCTATGAGCATCCTGGTACGTGGATGAAGGCGAGTCCCTTCCTCGAGGCCCGAGGAGTCCCCTAGAGCCCTGTGCCCAGGTGGACTCTGCAAGGCACGAGGATGCCTTCAGCCTTCTGCGGAAAACTTCACAACAGCCACGTGGCCTAGAGCCACAGCATTCGCCCCCGTTTCCTGCCACAGTTAAGATACAGTTTTAGGTACAATACTGCAGGTACACTGGCTCCCCTTCCATGGGGAATAAAGCCAAACTCCTTGCACTCTCCAAGAGGGCCCCTGGGCGCCTCTCTGACCTCACCGGCCGCCCGGCCCACTCGGCCCCGTCACCGGGGCCCTCCGCTCCGTAGCCAGGACACCTGGCAGGCCCCACCTTGCGCCTGCCCTCCGCTTGGAAAGCTCACCCTCCCACACCCGCCTGGCTCGTGCCCTTGCCTTTCCAGGTTTTGCTCAAGGCTGCCTCCTCGGCACGGCCCACACCACCCCCTGCTTAAGGGGGGCCTCCCCTCCACCCTCCTCCCGCCCAGGCTGGCCCAGGTCCCTCCACCAAGCCTGCCCATCCCAGAAGGGACACAGCATGTTGAGATGGGCGGTTTACACCTCCGCGCTGACTCAGAGCTGCCCGAGGACAGGGTCCCTGCCTGACTGCCCTGGTACTGTCTACCCGCAGCACAAAGAACATGCTCAGAAAAGCTGAGCTCAGGGACTTCCCTGGCGGTCCAGGGTTAGGGGGCCCCGGGTTCAATCCCTGGTTGGGGAACTAAGATTCCGCAAGGTGCGCGGCACAGCCAGACAAAAAAAAAAAAAAGAAAAGCTGAGCTCAAAGACCACGGATGGGGTGCTGGTTCCCTTCCACTGCCACAGATGTCCTTGAGGGCCAGTCTTCTGGTTTCGGCCAACACTTGACTCTCTGTCACTCTGGGCCGACTGCCGGGGAGCAAGGTTCATGGCTGTTACCCTGTCCCCCAATGCCCCCGGCTCAGGGCTGCTGTCTGATGGGACCACCAGCAAGGGCTTGAAAAACCTTTAGAGAAGGAAGAGCTGCTTTCCCTTCTCGCCCGTGGCTGTACCACCATCTCCCGGGTCACGGCGCTGGAGACAGCACGACGAGCAGCGTTTGCAAAGAAAAGGCTGGGAGGCTTGCTGAGTGTGCACTGGCCTGTCGGCTAAGGGCCTCTTCTGGGCGAAGCAGAGCCCACACTGTGGGGGAGGGGCACCTTGAAAAGGCTCCCAGACGGTCCTCCCGCAAAGCCACGCTCGGCCACGCTCGGCTGGACACCTCAGGGGCAGGACCGCCCACGAGCCCACGGCCCAGGGCCAATACACACAAGTGACCACAAGTGACCGCGCTGGGTCACCAGGACAGACCACGGCCCCTGGGGAGCCAAGCGCACATGCTGAGCGTTCCGAGATGCTCGCGGGGTCTGAGCACCATTCAGAGACGCTCACCTGAGAAGCTGGCGAACAGCCGGCAAAACTGGGAGAATCTGTTGCGGTGGAGCCACTGCTGGGCGTCCTGCGTGGAGGCCGAGGGAAGCAGGTGCTGCGGGCAGAGAGGACGGGCCTTGACGGGTTGCCCGGTCCGCACGGGACAGGCAGCCAGCGCCCAGCCGCAGACACTTACGTCACTGCCCACGGGCAGGGCCTCCACCGGGTGGGTTGGGGAGCTGTTGCTGAAAGGAAGAAGAGAGGTGGTGAGCGGCGAGGATGCTCCTTCCTGGCTGAGAGGCTCCTCGCCGGCCTGCCCTTCACTTCCCTCTGCTCTGGGGCTCATGAAATGAAATGGGCCCTCGAGAAAAATACAGACCTGCTCCATCCCTGGAAAGCCCTAACAAAGCCTCTGGTGTGGATGGGGGCTCTGATTAACTACACGCCCTCATCCCTCAGCTACGGCTCCAGGGCTTGTTTTGGCCAGATGCTGTGGTCCCCACCCCGAGCCCCAGCACGAGGGAAGGGCAGGTTGACCAAGCAGACCGGGACACACGCCTCACGGGGACTCAGTGCTGGGACAGCGAAGGGCCAGCCACACCCAGGAGAGGGCAGAGGAGTCCCTCGGGGAATTATTCTGCAGCGAACAAGCACCCACAGTTTGGCATCCGCCACGAGAAAACCATTCTCACGTTTTTCCCCAAAGGGAGGCAGAGACCTGAACACCTGGGTTTTTATGTCAAGAGAAAGATACATGGAGAGACGACCCTTCCAGATGGACAGTGGTGATGGTACAACTTGAACGGACTTAATATTACTGACCCAGCCACTTAAAAACGGTAAAATGGTAAATTTCACGTTTTGTGTATTTTATCACAATGAGAAAAAAACAGACCCCTGAGGGGATGAGCCCTAGACCAGTCATCGGTGACTACATATGCACGTCATCAGGGTCTAGGGGGTGCCAGGGACTTTATACATGTTCCCCTGACCCTGCGTGGAATTCATGCTCCCCCGGTCGTGAGGAAACCGGAGCTGCAGGAGGTTAAGGAACTTGCCCCCAGAAAGGTGCCGATTTAAGACTAGGTCTGCTGAATCTAAATGTGACAGCCCTTCCTCGTGCCCCCTCTCAAGGAGGACTGTCCTCACCTTGTAAACCAAGTTCATGTCTCGCTTACCCATCAATAGTTATCTCTCTAGCACGCGTGGGCTCCATTCTGCATGTTCTACCCTCACCTGTTAAACCCGCCTGGCACCCTCCCTGCCTCACCCTGGCCCCACGAACAGGATGGGCAGAGCCATCACAGGGATGCCACGGCCCTGGGACAGGTGCCACAGCTGCCCGCTGCTCCCTGCAGCCCCGTCACCTCGGAGTCAGCACCGCCTGTGCCTCGGCAGGGCTGGACCACCAGCAGTGAGGCCGCTTCTGTGCTGCAGGCCTGTGACCCCAGGGGCAGGGCGGGTCCTGAGCTGAGTCCCCCTGCCTAGTGACCATGCACGCGGGTGCAGAAAGATCTAAGAAGCCCCCCCAGGGACCTCCCTGGTGCTCCAGGGCTCAGGACTCGGCGCTTCCACTGGGGGGTGGGGGTGGGGGGGCGGCGCGGGTTTGATCCCTGGTCGGGAACTAAAATCCTGCAGGCCGCTTGGCGCGGCCAAAAAAATGAAGCCCCTCCGGCCGCTGCAGGGTCCAGAGGTCTGCCTCCTGAGGCCCCCGACGTCCAGGAGGTGGGCTTTCCCCTGCAAGGCACCAGGCAGGCTACCTCAGGGGGCCGGCCCAGGACCCCCGCAGCCCAGCCCACTTTAACCGGGGGAGGGAGTGGATGCCTGGTGCTCCGCTGCCCTAGCAGACAGCCTTCCTAGAGGTGTGTTCAAGCACAAGAACCTGGACGCGTGATGCTAAGAATGGTTGTGAATGTTAACACCAGTCAGCCGCCCTGAAACCCAGATCGATGCCAGGTTACAAAAGGAGCAGAGACCCAGGGAGGAAAGTGAGGGAAGGAGCCCACACCCGTGGTCACTCCAGGGACCGCAAAGGGAGAGAGGGTGCACGTACCCTTCGCCAAGGCCGAAGCTGTTCGGAGAGCCGTTGTAGCTTGGGGACGAGGCACTGTTCACCTGGTAAACCACGTCGGGCCACGGGGAGCACTGCAGGGAGAGAGCGCAGGGCAGCGGTGGTCCCGGCCGGGCCACTCGGTTCGGAACCACGTTCCTTCCACACCCAGCCCACACTGACCCGGCGCTCGGGGACGGGCACGCTGCTCGGGCCACACCGAAGAAACCAGCTAGGGCAGAGAAGAGGCAGTCCCCAGAAGAAGCAAAGCATGACACATGTCTGTCTGAGCTTCCGAAGAGTCAAAGCAAAGAGGGAAACCTCATCGGTCCCTTGATTCCTGGGTCCACAAGAAAAGAGACTAAAACGCAAGACAGGCCAGTTGCCCACAGGCGGGTCTTGGGAGCAAATGCACGAAACAGGGAGCACGGGGCCACAGACCACTGCCGACGGGAAAGCACCAGAGAAGCTCTGAATCTCCCGACGGGCCTCAGCTGAGGGGACAGACGAGGCGTCTCAACGCTGACCGGGAGCAGCCCCCTTCCAACCCAAGTCTTCGCACATGTACCACATTTCAGGAGCTCCCCCGCTTGCAGACCAGGGAGACGCAGCAACGCGAAAGCTGTGACCCCTGAACTCCAGGAACTTCTCGTGCGGAAGCTCAAACGGACACGCGAGAATCCCCCAAGGAAAGCAGAGACGTCGGGTGCTGCCCGGTTGGGGGCGGCAAGGGGTAGCCCGCGCACCAAGCATTCCCTGCTTCCCTTCCCTGTGACGACACCGCTTTGGACACGGCCAGTCGGAAGCATTCCTGAGATTTACTATCACCCACCCGACCACAGGGGGGGTCAATATTTAACTCTGTTACGAGTGAGGCCTGGAATGTGTTGGTGCCGAATCCTGCAGCCCCGGGGGGAGGAGGGAGGGGGGAGGGGAACAGGAAGGTTGATGAGCAGACAAGAGGGGATCCGGCAGCTCCCAAGGTCACAGGCCAGGTGCGGATTTCAACACCTGGCCTGGGACAGGGGCTGGGACGTTGCCTGGAGCACGCCAGGGGACCTGTCCTCCAGCAGGGAAGTCGGGGGAGAGGCAGAGGCCGGGAGGAGAAGGGTCACCGGGGTGCCTCACGAGCACACACCAGGCCTGGGAAGGGCTAAGGGTCCAAGCACGGCCCCACACACTGCAGAGCTGGCTCTGCCCTGCTGCAAGGGGGCAGGACTCCCTGGGCCAGGGCTCTCCGGCCACCGTCAGCCTCGACCCTAGGAAAAGCCAGCATGCATCTGTCCACGCCACAGAATTAGCATCCCTGCTGCCCTGCTGCACATACTCTTCTGTGTGTGGCTTTTCACACACACACACACGCAAACACACCCTCACACACCCACAGGCCTCTTAGCCCCCTGTCCCTGGGCCTCACCCTTAACCCAGACTTAACCCCACCATGGTCAGCACTGGACCTGAGGCATCCACGGAGGGCCTCCTGAGTAAGTCAGATTACTCAGTGGACGAGCCCAACACCTATCAACTGGCCTGATGGCAGGACACAGCGGGGAAGAGTTGTTCAAATCAAAAAACAGAGCCCAGTAAAAGAGGCAGCAGCAGCAGTGACCCGTGACGGAAGGAAAAGGGACCTGTGGTACGAAGCATCTCAGAGATAGCCTGGACGGAAGAACGGCTGGAGCAGGCTGGCGTCGGCGGCAGGGCTGAGAGGAAACGCACCCCAGTATCCACCCAAACAGCAAAGAACGAGAGCTATTTACAGTCTCTGACCCAGCAATCCCCCTCCGAGAACAGATGCTGCAGACATTCTTTCCACGTGCAGAACTACACTCGCACAAGGTGTTCACGGTACCCTGTGTGAAATGGCAAGAGCCTGGAAATAACCCAGCGTCCAGCAAAAGGCCATCCAGACAACGAAAGCTACACAGCTGGATAAAGAACTAGAAAGCTCTTTATGAACAGACAGGAAACAGACTCCAAGAGAGGCCATGAATTAAAGACAGGCAACCACAGAACAGTGTGTGTGCGTACTGTCGGGGGAAAAAAGAGCGCATGGGGCAAACGTGTATGAACTGGCTTCATCTGCAGAGAACGTTGGGCCAGATACACAAGGAGCCGGGGGTCGCCTGCTGCCCCGGGGAGAGAAACCGAGGCCAGACAGTGCTGGGAAGGATATTTTCCGATGGAGATGCTCTTATACCTTTTGAATTTGGACCACATGAATATATGATCTATTCCAAAAATCTGAAATAAAAATAACCTAATCTTGAAATGCGCAAATGGCAGCAGAGAGCTAGAAGGTACTTGTGAAACACCTCCCTGGACACCGGGCCTTAACTGAAAGCGCTCCAGACAAAGGAACACACCACAATTTAACGGGCGCTCTCGGTAGAAGTGTTCACCCCAAATGCGCACTTTTCCAAGGATCTAAACCCACCCTCGCCGCCCCTGGCAGAAGGCTCCGGCCGGCTCACCTCTGAGAGGATGGTGGTTTCATAGGATGGCTGGTATTTCTCCTTCTCTTGGGCCGTTCTTTTTTCCATCTTCTCTCGGTCAGTCTTCTGCTTCCGGTCAGCTCCCTTTGGCTGTAAGTGCAGAGCACAGGGGTCCAGTGAGTTCAAAGCAGGCAGAGGCAGCTGTCGGGGGGAGATCCAGGGCTGAGCAGTGGGCCCCCCCACCCAAGGCCAGCACACTCCCCACCTCACCCAGAAGCCCTAGCAGGATCTCACGGACAAGAAAGCACCTCTCTCACCTCCCAGGCATCCAACACACAGGTCCACCCGCCCGGAGCCCCTGCCCACCCCGAGGGACTCAGAGCCTGCTACAGGGTCCTACGGGGACTCTCCAGGGTCCACTCAGCAGACCATGCAGAAATGCTGGGAGCAGAGCTTTACCAGTGGCCACTTGCTAATGGAGAGGACCCCTCGAGGGCCTTCCGTGGGTGCCCCGTGGACCGTGACAGGAAGTGGATGAGCTGGGAGCTGCTGGCCGGGGCTCGGTCTACAATCGCACGCCATCTTGGCCATCTTGGGGGCCTCCTTGCCCCCAAGTCCTGGGACTACGACCATGCTCCCGGCCTCCACCCCAGCAGGCCCAGCTGATGGGGACCATCCTGACCACTGGGACTATCCCCTCCTGAGTTCAGGGCCTGGTGGTCGGGGCCAGATATCAAGAGTCCGCAGGACCCAGAACTGAGCGCGTTACTCTGTTGGCAGTGGACCACACGCAGTGGGCAGTCAGGGAGGAAAGTTCATCCTCAAGCTCGATGGCGCCTTTGGGATCATCCTGGCTGCAGCTTTTGACTCCCAGCTCAGGAGATCTGAGGAAATAGCCCTCAGGGGGATGCCCAGGCTGGAGGGAGGGAGGTTTGCTGGGGGTCCTATGGGGACGTGAGTGACAGACCCGGTGTCCAGTGGGAGAGCCAGGCATGCGGCAGCCGGGCTCCCATCATCGGGTTTCCCTGCTCCACCTCCGTCCTCCTGTCCTCCTGTCCCAGAAAGGAGGCCCTTCTTCCCGGCCCAGAAGCATTACTGGTAAAGCGTGGCTGAGCCTGCCTGTAGGGGGCAGCCTGTGGGGAGCCGGCGGGGCAGGGAGCGGCCCAGACACCCCCATGGAGCCCCAGGGCCGGGCTCCGAGAAGCCAGGGCTTCCTAGGAACCAGGGTGATCTGAGACGGGAGAGTGATGGGCGGTTCGGCTGGGCTGTGCCTGGCGCCAGTGCACACCCATCTGAGCTGCTGCTGGTGCGGGTTGCGGGGCTGGCCAGGTCACCTCAGGCATTCTGGGGAGCCCGTTTCGGGTATCAGAGGCTCCTACCCCCCTGCAGGAGATGGTAAGGCAGCTTCCGGCCCCAGTCCCCCAATAACGCCTGGTGTGCGGCTGAGAAATTGAGCAGAGCCCTCACTCCTGAGCTTCCCCCTCGAGCTGTAGGAGGGGAAGCTCACGGGAGCCATGGGGAGGGCTAGGCATCCCTGGCGCAGACGGCCCCTCCCTCCTACCGTCCGGCCGGCGCCCATTCCCAGGGCACACGCTCGGAAAGCGCTGGAATCACACTGGACGCGCCCACCACCTGAGGGCAGAAGACAGCTGGTGGAACCCTGGACCTGGTCTGTGCGTGACAGGGAGGGGGTGGGACTGCAGGACAGGCAGAGACCACCCGCTGCACAGCCTCGGAGCTGTCCAGGGTGAGCCAGAATCACCCTGGACCCTGGAGCACCCACAAGACCAGAGGCACCGGTGGACAGGGTCGGCAGACTAATGCTCCCCAAAGATGGCCACGTCCTAATACCCAGAGCCTGGGAGGATGTTACCTTCCAGGGCAGAAGGGGGCGAGGTTGCAGACGGAATTAAGATGGCCAACAACATGAGATTAAAATAGGAAGATGAGCCTGGATCATCCCGTGGGCCCAGTGTAATCACAGGGGCTTAGAAGTGGAGCGGGGGCGAGCAGGGGAGTCAGGGTGATGTGTGTGAGAGGGGCTCTACCTGCTCCAGCTTTGAGGATGGAGGAGGGGCCACAGGCCAAGGAATGCGGAGGCCTCCAGAAGCCGGAAAGGGCAAGGGAACAGAGATTCTCCCCTGGGCCCTCCAGAAAGGAATTCAGCCCTCCTGACGCCCGACTCTAGCCCAGTGAGACCCGGTTCAGACTTCTGACCTCCAGCATTAAAAGACAGTATGCAGTACTGAGCCACTCAACTTTGGGTCATTCTTTTACAGCAGGAAGAGGAAACAAATATGGGGCAGAAATGTAACTTCCTTCGGAAGCTGGTTTCAAGGCTTCATAATGATGCAGCAGGTTTCTGGAGGGTGCTACCGCCCTGGCAGAGAAGACAAACTCACGCTCCCCCCACCATCCCTCCCTCCCCACCCAGGGTGGCAGCGCTTACTGACCAAGGTGTCCCAGTGCACAGAGCCCGGCCAGGGCCTCAGGACCCTTTGCCCACAGCCCTCGGGCGGCCAGACGCTATCAGTGGGGATGAAGCCAGCCGCCCAGCTGTGTGGCCTGAGTGCAGACACGGGCAGCTTCAGGGCCTTCCAGTCCAGTTGGGAAACAGGGCAGATCACCACTCCACCGCCAAGTTGATGGTTCTACCTGTGGGCACTTATTTCCACATCCATCCCAAGCTCAGGAAGATCAACACTGACCCAGCTTCCTCTGGGATGAGGCCCTATTTCTACGGCCGATCACTCTGGCATCTCCAGCCCCAGCAGACGGAACTTTGTCGGCAAGTCCCCAGGTCCCCTGATTGTGAAAGACGGGAAGGACGGGGAAGGCACTGGGGCCGGTCCGCGCCCCGTCCTGGGGCACCTGCTGGGATCTCCTGGCTGGCGGGCAGGTCCAGCCTGCTGGCGACAGGGCCTGTGGTCCGGCTCGGCACCGGTCCGCCCACCCTGAGGATGATGCGGGGTCCGCGGCCACCCTCCCTCCCCGCGGGGCCACCCTGAGCTACACCACTGTGGACCGTCTTTAGGAAATACTCTGTCCAGACAGATGAGGTGAGAAGCAACGGCAGGAGACTGCAGGGGGTGAGACGAGAAAGGAAAAGAAGGGAGGTACCAGGAGGCCACTGCGCAGGGGCAAGGGAAGAACATCCGCTGGGATTAACATGTACACGCTACCATCCGTAAAACAGATAACCAACAGGGAGCTGCTGTGCGGCACAGGGAAATACTCTGTAATAACCTCAATGGGAAAAGTATTTGAAAAAGGATAGGTACGTGTCTATGTGTAACTGAATCACTGTGCTGCACACCGGAAACTCACACAACATTGTGAACCAACCATACTTCAATAAAAACAAATAAATAAATCACGTCCACGGTCAGGACCCACACGGGAGGTCTCCTAACTTGACTTCTAAGGGGAACCTAATGGGCAACCACAGAAGGTGCGGCCAAAGTGCTTGGGAGGAAAAACAAAAATCTACAAGTGTGCCAGTCCCACCACTCGGTCCAGTAGAGCCGAGCCCGGCCGTCTGTGGGGAAGAAAGCAGGCAGCCTGGCTCAGCAGAGCCCAGGCAGGAGCCCCGGGCTACTCATGGGGACGCCGCACTCCCTGCTGGGCCTCCGCGTTTTGGCATCGCCGTCCCAGGCAGGGCGAGGGGCCAGGTGACGGCGGAAGGAGCTGGCGGGGCCGTCCTACCTTGAACACCTTGATCTGGCAGCTGGCCGAGTGCAAGTGTTCCGTGTACTCCCCATTCTCACTCTGCTTGAAGGTATCGATCTGCACCCGAAAGGGCACGCCCTTCTCGCCCCCGTGCTTCCTCGGGGTGAACTCTGTGCTGATGCAGTGCACCTGCAGGGGACGCGGGGGGGCAGGTAGCCAGAAGCAGGCGAGGGTGGGCTCTGGACCGCCCCCCGCCCATGGGCTCCTCTCCAAATGGAGGTTTCCATTCCGCACGGTCAGACCCACCTCCACCTCTCCGCTCTCCCCCAGTGCTGTCCACTCTGTCGGGCCGCTGGCCGTCCCATCCCCTAACCACAGAGGGCCTGCCCTCTCACCTTTGTCCCTTGACCTTGGAGGCCCCGCCTGACCACCTAAGTCCTTGCCGTTGCTCCAGGCCCACTGACCCCAGCAGACCCGCTCACTCCCGCCCCTGAGAACTCTCCCTTGGCAAATCCCACAGACCACAGAACAGGGACCACAGCTTAGTCCCTAAGGGCCTGGTGGCCAGGTTACTCAGGCCAGGCCAGAAGCTGGGACCACTTCTTTATTTCTCGTTAGTGCCTGTTACACAGAAGGCACTTGACGTACATTTCTTGCTATAACACTGTGATCACGTCATAATACAATTCATCTTATTGTAACAGTAAACGGTAACATTATTATAATTCTTTTAAAATGCAGTTCAAGTATTGAAACTATGCAAGGCAAAAAGATCGCTCACTTTTACTGAGCGATTACTATGAACCAGGCCTTGTGGTCATGGCTCTGTTTTCACTCTCTAATTTATAAGACAGGTGGGAAAGCCAAGAGGCTCAAAACGGGACACACAGGAAGAGAGCCAGGGGCAAGCCCGGAAGCACAGGGCCCCAACTGGGCCCTTGGCCACCTCTATCTGCCATGGTGTTTAAAACAAGGCCAGGTTCACAAGCAGGTGCTTGAGAATTAAATAATTAATTTAATAACAGAAACAATTACGAAAAAACTTTTCACTTCAAATTATTTATGCTAGGCCATACTTATTTTGCAAAAAGCTTACATACTGATAAGCAAAACCCACACAGGATGCTACAACGTCCCGAGTCCTGTGACTCTGAGACACACCCATCCACCCTTTCAGCCTCCTTTCCTGCAGCAGAGGGCAGGAGCCCATCAGGGCCCCCCGGAAGGATGGTTTCGAGAAACGGCCCAAAGGACCCCAGAGCTCCGGCTTCCCCACCGAGGGCAAGCTCCCTCCCGCTCACCTGAATGAAAGCAGATGCTCTCTTCGAAGGGTCCCACAAAAACTCAACTGCATTCAGCTGGGTCGGGCTGGCCCTGGGGTCCAAGATACCAACAGACAGTGGAATATCTGTGCACATACACACACAAAAGTGCAATCGTCAGCCACTCCCAAATATTTCGGGAAGGATTCTCATTACAGGTCCAAATTCCTTACACAATTCGACATGCCAGAAGTTCTGAAAACTAGGTTTTGCGTAACTCAGTGGGCAGAAGCCTGACTTGACGCCTTTACCCCATTGTGTAGAGTCATTCTGTTTTGCTGCAGGAACATTGCTCTGCTTGACTGCCTGTTGGCGGTGTGACCCGAAGCTATGGGTCTACACACCTTACTATCATTCCAACCTCTGAGTTCCAAAACCCATCCGGGCCCAAGGGTTGTGGATAAAAGACCGCGGGCCACCGCCTGAGCCCCCAGTTGCATTTCCACTGCCCCTCTCTGTGAGGCCCCCCCGGCCCTTCATCACTCATCATGACCCTTTAAGGCAGGGTCTTTCTGCAAAGCTTTCCCTGCTTCTCACTCCCTGACGGCAGGTCCTTGAATCCCGCGTGCCACCCCATCCCAGGCCCCCACAAAAGGTGAACCCCCGAGGGTAGGCCTGGTGGCACGGTCACCTCCACCAGCTCCTGTGGGGTTTCACACAAGGCAAAAGTGCGCCAAGATGCCCTGGACAGGCCTGGGTCCGGAAGGCACCCAGGAAGGACCCCCGTGTGCCTGGAGCTCCGTCGGCCTCTCCCTCCTGGCCCGGGAGACTCACCGATGTCCAGGATGCGGTCCCCGGGCCGGCTCCACCGCCAGCCCTCCAGCTGTTGGTGCTCCGTGTACTGTAGCCGCCGGTCGTGGAACACCACGCGGATGATGCTCTGGGCGGGGGGAGGGGCAGGGGTGGCAGTAAGGGACAGCTGAGGGTGAGTCCTGAGAGGGACCCACAAGGAACCTGCCCTCAACCATCCCCAAGACAGACACACCTCCTGCCCTCCAAGGCCTGGAGCTGCCTGGAGGCTTCCTCCCCGCACCCCTCCCAGAACCCCAACAATATGAATGCCGGCACGAACACAAGTGCTGCCCTTCTTTCCAGGGTTGCTAAGCGCTCTGCACACGTGGGTCCTCTACAAACCCTTCTGCACAGATGAGTAAACTGACGCTCAGAAAAGGCTGGGAAGAGGCAAAGCCAGGCTGGAAGCCGAGTCTGTCCAACCCAGCGCCCAGTCCATCAGCCCACGTCCCTCTAGCTCCCAATGCTGCCGGCCCGCCCGAGGCCCCTTAGACAACACACTCCAGGGACCAGGAGCCCACCTCTGTCCCTGGAGCTTTCCCCAAACCTCCCAGGCACTCCCGCCACAAGCCCAGGTGCTGGGACCCCGACAGTGCACCCTCAGGAGCCCAGAAAGGGCACAGCTGGCAGCCTCACCTTCACATATTTTGTGTTCAGATCCTGAAAATCTCCCAGCTTCCGATTCTCCAGCAGTCGGATTTCATAAGACTGACCTGGAGGGGGGATAATAGGACATTTTCCATTTCTGGCTTCAAATTTGGGACTCCCCCAGCTAGAGGTCTTCTCGACACCCTCAGGGCCCCACCCAGGCCTCACGGCCCCAGGGACCAAAGCAGAGAACAAAGGCCACGGACAGCTCAGATCATGCTCTGAGTTTGTCCATGCGGCCTGGAGAGGCGCCTGGGGCTCCCAAGGAAACGCGCGTGACCCCTGGAGAGAGAGAGCACCTCTACGATGTTCAAAGACATAGAATCGAAAACAACACACTTAGCGTTCAATTTACAGAACACAACTTCGTATTTCTTTTTTCTGTTTTCTTTCGGCCTCACCACGGCTTGCAGAACTTCCCTGACCAGGGATCGAACCCGTGCCCTCTGCAGTGGAAGCGCGGAGTCTTAACCACTGGACCACCAGGGAAGTCCACGACTTCATATTTCTTTATGAAGAACACCCCCTATACACTCGGATGGAGAACACAGATACTTAAATCTCCATTAAATAACCGACCGGACCCTTCCTGAGAGCAGGTTTAAAGGAACGAATAAAAGCCTGTTAAACATTGTCTCTAATTGCAGAATGAAATGCATTTTCTCAAGTTAAAAGAATTTCATGTATTTGAAAGGGTGTGGGGATTCTATTTGGGGACATGTAACCAGCACGAGCCGGTGAAAGAATGTAAATGGAGGAAACATCCGTCCATAAGAACCACCCCAAACTTTAAAGGACCTGCAAATAACCTGAAGAAAACGACACATATTTTATTGGAAAATAAAATATAGCTTGAAAAAATAGGATATGCCACATTCCTAGAGGGGAAGACCACCTAGCAAATGGTATCAACTTTTTCCAAACTAAGTAAATTCAACCACAACGCTACAACAGCTTAGCATACATCAGAGCTTCATAAAGGATGCTTTACAAATAAGAGAGAACAAATGATCTCATAATTGTTCTTGGTAAATCTAATCAAAATTCGTAAATCTTGTTCTTGGTAAATCTAATCAAAAATTTAAAAATTTTTTAAAATAATGATACACTCACAAGAAGTTACAAAAATAGTACAGAAAGGTCCTGAGTGTCAACCCCAGCTTCCCCCGGTGATGGCATCTGAGGTCACTACGGTACATTATCGAAACTGACCATGGCACAGTACAATTAACTGAACTCCAGACCTCACGCAGGTTTCCCTGGGTTTTGCAGGTTTAATCCAAGTTACCACTGGATTAAAAAACTAATTTCCTGGAATAAAGACACAGACCTACTGGAGAATGGACTTGAGGATATGGGGAGGGGGAAGGGCGAGCTGTGACAGGGCGAGAGAGAGTGGCATGGACATATACACACTAACAAACGTAAGGTAGATAGCTAGTGGGAAGCAGCCACATAGCACAGGGAGATCAGCTCGGTGCTTTGTGACCACCTGGAGGGGTGGGATAGGGAGGGTGGGAGGGAGGGAGACGCAAGAGGGAAGAGATATGGGAACATATGTATATGTATAACTGATTGACTTTGTTATAAAGCAGAAACTTACACACCATTGTAAAGCAATTATACTCCAATAAAGATGTTAAAAAAAAATAAATAATTTCCTAAGGTTTTGTTTTAATGTGAATGACGACTCAATAGGGAAGGACTTTCTGAACCCAAAATCAATGGGAAAGAGAAATCTGATAAAGATACAGATACAGATGCAGATATATATACATCTATATCGTAAGTGCAAACAGCAAACTAGGAGCAGCACAAATCCAGTGGTTAACAGCTTTAATATGTCTAGAAAAGCAATGATTAGAAAAATATTAAAACAAACAAACAAGAAAGACAAAACAAAAAAAAAGAAAAATATTAAGACTCCCTGGAGTGGGTTAAATTGTAGTCCCCCAAAAGATATGTCCATACCCTAATCTCCAGAACCTGTGAATGTTACCTTCTATTTGGAAAGAGTCTTTGCAGATGAAATTTAAGTTAAGGATCTTGAGACGAGGAATTATCCTGGTTTGTCCTGGAGGTCCCTCCATCCAATGACAAGTGTCCTTATAAGAGGACACACAGGGAAAAGAGGAGGCAAGGTGACCACAGGAGCAGAGATGGGATTGATGCAGCCACAAGCCAAGGAATGCCCGGAGCCACCCAAAGCTGGAAGATGCAAAGAACGGATTCTCCGCTAAAGAGTCCCCACGGGGACCACAGCCCTGGGGGATTTCTGACTTCTGGTCTCCAGAACTGTGAGAGAATAAACTTCTGCTGTGTGTGTCAAGCCAACGTGTTTGCGGTCCTTCTGTTAAAGCAACCCCAGGAAACTAATACACTCAGTCGTGCAGTGCATAACAGAGCAGGCAGAGACTACGAAGTTCAGTCATTCGTTCCAAGCATTTGCTGAGCACACAACCACACGCCAAACGCCGCGCAATCCTGGGGACACGGTGCCGTGGGCGTGGACACGACGCTGGCTGGCTCAGAGGTGCCCACTCGGTGAAGCCCCCTGCTCAGGAAGGTGGGACCCGTCCATCCGGCTTTCGCCAGCCCGGCTGCCAGGACGAGTGAAAACCAGAAAGACACATCAGGCCCCGGCACCACTCAGGTCGCGCTGCTGGGCACGTTCCATCAGAAGGAAAAGGCATGGACCCCAAACTCTTGGCCTGCTCACGTGCCAGTTCCTAAGGGTCTCACTGACCTGAATCGACACTTGTACCTTTCTGAAAAACCCAGATTTTTCACACGTTTCCGGGCTCCGGAGCCAACACTCCCTTGATAGCGACAGGCAATGGAGCCTCACACACCCTAAACTGGTTTTTCCAGTGTCCTCCACCTTCCCCCAGGAAGAATGCAGCCAGCTCTGGCATGAGGCCCAAGGCCCAGATGGTCATTACCGTGGGTTTACGGGCGCCCCAGGGCCCCATGAACACTGACCCCAGGCTCTGCAGGGCAAGCTCAGCTCAGGCCCGGCAGGCGACACCTCCCGTTCCGCGCAGAGCAGTCCCCGGACGTGAGCATCACAGGTGGCCACTCAGGGAACAGAGCTACTAATGTGGCTGTAGGCCCAGGGTCCCGGCCTCCTCCACCAGCAGCACAGACCTGCCGCCCTGCTTCCCCACCGCATCTCCCTTCCTCACGGAACCCCCCAGCCACTCTGCACCCGCCCTGCTGAGGCCTCAGACAGACGCCCGGCCTCCCTCCCCATTCGGCCCGCCAAGGCGCCAACACACCTCCCCAGCCCCCTCGCACCCAGCGCAGCAGCAGCATCTCCAGTGACACACGGGCTGATGAGCAAGGTCAGGACGGCTGAATTGACCCGGGGGACATGGACATCTCTCTCCTTGGCCGGCATCACCTCAGGGCATAGGTGGGAGCTGAGGAAAGCGGGCTCTGTCAAGGCCCAGGGCTGTGTCTGTTTTGCTCACCACTGTACTGTTGGACGCCGGAGGGACTCGATGTTCTGTGCTAAAACTACAGGGTTGGCAAAAGCAAGACAGCCTCCCGCCCTCAAAGGGTTGGCAATCTTCAAACAGAACCGGCATATGGCGAACCCTAGAGACGATCACACTGAGTGAAGCAAGTCAGACAGAGAAACACAAATACCATATGATATCACTCATATGTGGAACCTATGAAAAGGATACAAATAAACTTATTTACAAGACAGAAATAGACCCACAGACATAGAAAACAAACGTATGGTTACCAAAGGGGAAAGGTGGGGAGGGATAAATTAGGAGTTTGGGATTAACATATACACGCTATACATAAAACAGATAACCAATGAGGACATACTGTATAGCACAGGGACCCCTACTCAATATTCTGTGACAACCTGTAAGGGAAAAGAATCTGAAAAAGAACGGATATGCGTATAGGTATAACTGAATCACTTTGCTGTACACCTGAAACTAACACATTGTAAATCAACTGTACGCCAATATAAAAGAAAAATTAAATTTAAAAATTTTTAGAAAAGAAAACAAATAAGAAACAACAGAGATCCAGAGGGGGAGGTGGGGAGGAAGGGTCTGAATAAGAAAATAACACTTGGCGATAAACTCTGAAGAGTGGGCAGGATTTCTACAGTTGAGGGAAGAATGAATGAGAAAAGTAACCCCAAGCAAAACTGTAGTCGGGAGGTGGCCCTGAGAGACGTGCCTTTAGGGAACACCTAACAGCTTCCATTCACTGGGTGCTTACCCAGCAGCAAAGTGTGCCCAGGTATTAACTCACCTGAATCAACAGTGCAGTTTAGATTATGAGCCCCACCTGACAGAAGGAAGCAGAGGCTCAGAGAGGTTGCCTGACTTGAGCAATCTCACACAGCTAATCAGTGATAGAGCCAGGAGCAGAAACTTGGCCCCAGCTAACCTGGTGGGTGTTGTCTGCTGGGCAGAAGGCTCTCTCTCAACGTCGCCTTTCTGGAAGGCATCTGGTTCCATTCTGGTTAAAGTTTGCCCCCAGCATCTGGTGGCATATAAAGCGCCCCATGAGTTCCATCCCCGGTCGAGATGGTATTTTTTTCCTCCTTCCTTCTCCCCTTTAGGACTAGAAATAAAGGGGATTCTTAGGATGACCAATTCGACTTGTTCCCTGACCCCGGATAAAGCACGTTGACTCCATTTCCTTGTCTGTAAAATCCTCTGTCTCCTACACCTTAAACAATAAGCCGGAAGGATAGCAAGAGGGAGGAGAGATGGGGATATATGTCTATGTATAGCTGATGCACTTTGTTATACAGCAGAAACAAACACACCATTGTAAAGCAACTGTACTCCAATAAAGATGTTTAAAAAACAAACAAACATGACTTTAAAAATCTGAAATAAAATGAAAAGATTTTGAACTTCTGGAAAAAAAAATAATAATCCAGAAGGATAAATAAATCACTACAGAAAATGAGAGTAAAGCCTGTTGTAATTTCAGAATTGTGAAATGTGGGACAAGGAAAACATGTTGGTCTTAGAATCAAGGGAACAGGATAATAAATAAGTAAACAATCACTTAGTTGTCA